TCTCTCTCTCTCTCTCTGTATATATATATATATATATATATATATATATATATATGTATATATATATATATATATTTTTTTTTTCTTTTAGGAAGCTCTTCCAAATTCTCCTATTTAGGGCATAATAGAATAACATTTTAAACACACAAAAACATAGATGTAGAACACCTGCCTTCCCCCAAATTCCCCCAAACTCACCTTGTCTTCTTAATGATGGCTTCTTCAAAGACTCACAGGCCCGGTTGAATTATGGAGGCCACTGTAGCCTCACCCTCATTGACCACATATATTTTCTTTCCATTATGGGAAGTTCCTCACAATGCATGCATTAAAAGTAACTTTTGTGGTTGGCTTCCTGAAGATTTCAATGTATAGGCTAAGGGTAAGTTTCACCTGAGGGTGGATTTTCCAGCACTGTGAAGCTGTGAGGGGGGTGAGTTTTCTCTTCAGACTCTTTCTCTCATGATTGAGGCTGTTTTAAGTTCCTCTGCACCATATTTTCTCTTCATTTATTTCAACAAAGGTTGTGGGGATAAAGTATTCCCTTTCACACACTCCTGAATATAGCAACTTTTCTGGGATCTCAGTTCTTCAGAAGGAAATAAAATCATAAGCGATTTTATTTTCTCTCTCTCCTTTTTTTTTTTTTTTTGGTTTTTCGAGACAGGGTTTCTCTGTTTAGCCCTGGCTGTCCTGGAACTCACTCGGTAGACCAGGCTGGCCTCGAACTCAGAAATCCGCCTGCCTCTGCCTCCCAAGTGCTCGGATTAAAGGCGTGTGCCACCACCACCTGGTTATTTTTTTTGTGTGTGATTTTATTTTCTCATTCCTGATGTTGCTGGTTTTCACCTGTGAAATATTAGACATCTATCTATGTATTTGAGAATAATTAAGCAGGTGTATTTTGAAAACAATGATAATCCTAAAGTCCTTCAGGCTTTTTTCTTTTTTGGAAGCAGAAGTTGACATACAAAATAATTTATTGTATAAATTATCTCTTTTTTGTTGCTTTACATTTTTTTGCTGTTTTGGGATATTTTATTTTACATTTCAAACGTTATCCCCTTTTCTGGTTTCCCTTCCAGAAGCTGCCTATCCCACCCTCCCTCCTCCTGCTTCTATACGGGTGCTCCCCCACCCACCCAACCACTCCCACCTCCCTGCCCTGGCATTCCCCTACACTGAGGTACTGAGTCTTCCCAGGACCAAGGACCTCTCTTCCCATTGATGTTTGACAAAACCATCCTCTGCTACATATGTGGCTGGAGCCATGGGTTCCTCCATGTATACTCTTTGGTTGGTGATTTAGTCCCTGGGAGCTCTGGGGAGTCTGGAAGGTTGATATTGTTGTTCTTCCTATGGGTTGCAAACCCCTTCAGCTCCTTCAGTCCTTTCTCTAACTCCTCCATTAGGGACCCCTTGCTCAGTCCAATGGTTGGCTTCGAACATCTGCCTCTGTATTTGTCAGGCTCTGGTGGAGCCTCTAAGGGGACAGTTATTATCAGGCTCCTGTCAGCAAGCACTTCTTGGCACCTGCAATAGTGTCTGAGTTTGGTGTCTGTATATTGGATTGATCCCCAGGTGGGGTAGTCTCTGGATGGTCTTTCCTTCAGTCTCTTCTCTATACTTTGTATTTCCTCTCTTGGGTATTTTGTTACCCCTTCTAAGAAGGACTGAAGCAGGCACACTTTGGTCTTCCATCTTCTTGAGCTTCATGTGGTCTGTGAATTGTATCTTGGTTATGTCGAACTTTTGGGCTAATATCCATTTATTAGTGAGTGCATATCATGCGTGTTCTTTTGTGACTGGGTTACCTCACTCAGGATATTTTCTAATTCCATCCATTTGCCTAAGAATTTCATGAATTCATTGTTTTTAATAGCTTAGTAGTACTCCATTGTGTAAATGTACCACATTTTCTGTATCCATTCCTCTGTTGAAGGACATCTGTTGTTTCCAGCTTCTGGCTTTTATAAATAAGGCTGCTATGACTATAGTAGAGCATGTGTCCTTGTTATATGTTGGAACATCTTTTGGGTAGATGCCAAGGAGTGGTATAGCTGGGTCCTTAGGTAGTATTGTTTTCTGAGGAACTGCCAGACTGATTTTCACAGTGGTTGTACCAGCTTGTAATCCCACCAATAATGGAGGAGTGTTCCTCTTTCTCTACATTCTCAACAACCTCTGCTATCACTTGAATTTTTGATCTTAGCCATTCTGATTTGTGTGAGGTGGAATCTCAGATTTGTTTTGATTTGCATTTTCCTGATAACTAAGGATGTCGAATATTTCTTTAGGTGATTCTCAGCCATTTGGTATTCCTTAGTTGAGAATTCTTTGTTTAGCTCTATACCCCATTTTTAATAGGGTTATTTGGTTCTCTGGAGTCCAACTTGTTGAGTTCTTTGTATATATTGGATATTAGTGCTCTATGAGATGTAGGATTGGTAAAGATCTTTTCCTAATCTGTTGGTTGCTGTTTTGTCCTATTAACAGTACCTTTGCCTTACAGAAGCTTTGCAATTTTATGAGGTCCCATTTGTTGATCCTTGATCTTAGAGTGTAAGCCATTGGTGTTCTGTTCAGAAAAATTTCCCCTGTGCCCGTGTGTTTGGGGCCCTTCCCCACTTTCTCTTCTATTAGTTTCAGTGTATCTTGCTTTATGTGGAGGTTCTTTATCCACTTAGACTTGAGCTTTGTACAAGGAGATAAGAATGGATCAATTTTCATTCTTCTACATGCTGTTCTCCAGGTAAATCAGCACCACTTGTTGAAAATGCTGTCTTTTTTTCCCCACTGGATGGTTTTAGCTCATTGGTCAAAGATCATGTGACCATAGGTATGTGGGTTCATTTCTGGGTCTTGAGTTCTGTTCCATTGATCTACCTGCCTATCTCTGTACCAATACCATACAGTTTTTATCACTATTACTCTGTAATACAGCTTGAGGTCAGGGATGGTGATTCCCCCAGAAGTTCTTTTATTGTTGAGAATAGATTTTGCTATTCTGGGTTTTTTGTTATTCCAAATGAACTTGAGACTTGCCCTTTCTAACTCTGTAATGGGGATTGTATTGAATCTATAGACTGCTTTCGTCAAGATGGCCATTTTTACTCTATTAATCCTGCCAATCCACAAACATGGGAGATCTTTCCATCTTCTGAGATCTTCAATTTCTTTCTTTGGAGACGTGAAGTTCTTGTCATACAGATCTTTCACTTGCTTGGTTAGAGTCCCACCATGACATTTTATATTTGTGACTATTGTAAGGGTATAATTTCCCTAATTTCTTTCTCAGCCTGTTTATCCTTTGAGTAGATGAAGGCTACCAATTTGTTTGAGTTAATTTTGTATCCAGCCCCTTTGCTGAAGTTGTTTATCATGTTTATGAGTTCTCTGGTGGAATTTTTGGGGTCACTTAAGTATACTATCATATCATCTGCAAAGGGTGATTATTTTAACTTCTTCCTTTCCTATTTGTATTCCTTTGACCTCCTTTTGTTGTCTAATTGCTCTGGCTAGAACTTCAATTACTATATTGAATAGGTAGGGAGAGAGTGGGCAGCCTTGCCTAGTCCCTGATTTTAGTGGGATTGCTTCAAGTTTCTCTCCCTTTAGTTGGATGTTGGCTACTGGTTTGCTGTACCTTTTTTTTTTTTTTTGCTATCTTTTTTTCGGGGTTGTTGAAAGCAGATTACTTTCTTGCTTTTTCTAGGATGTAGTTTCCCTCCTTGTGTTGGAGTTTTCCATCTATTATCCTTTGTAGGGCCAGATTTGTGGAAAGATATTTTGTAAATTTGGTTTTGTCGTGGAATATATTGGTTTCTCCATATATGTTAAATTGAGAGTTTTCTGGATATAGTAGTCTGGGCTGGCATTTGTGTTCTCTTAGGGTCTGCATGACATCTTCCCAGGATCGTCTAGCTTTCATAGTCTCTGTTGAGAAGTCTGGTGTAATTCTTATAGGTCTGCCTTTATATGTTGCTTGACCTTTTCCCCTTACTGCTTTTAATATTCTTTCCTTGTTTTGTGCATTTGGTGTTTTGATTATTATGTGATGGGAGGAATTTCTTTTCTTGTCCAGTCTATTTGGGGTTCTGTGGGTTTCTTGTATGTTCATGGACATCTCTTTCTTTAGGTTAGGGAAGTTTTCTTCTATAATTTTGTTGAAGATATTTACTTGCCCTTTAAGTTGGGAATCTTCACTCTCATCTATACCTATTATCCTTAGGCTTTGTCTTCTCATTGTGTCCTGGATTTTCTGGATGTTTTGGGTTAGAAGCTTTTTGCACTTTGCATTTTCTTTTACTGTTGTGTCAGTGTTTTCTATGGTATCTTCTGCCCATGATATTCTCTCTTTCATCTCTTGTATTCTGTTGGTGATGCTTGTATCTATGACTCCTGATTTTTTTCCTAGGGTTTCTATCTCTAGGGTAGTCTCCCTTTGTGATTTCTTTGTTTCTACTTCCATTTTTATGTCCTTGATGGTTTTGTTCAATTCCTTCACCTGTTTGGTTGTGTTTTCTTATAACTCTTTAAGGGATTTTTATGTTTCCTCTTTAAGGGTTTCTACCTGTTTACCTGTGTTCTCCTGTACTTCTTTAAGGGAGTTATTTATGTCCTTCTGAAAGTCCTCTATCATCATCATGAGATGTGATTTTATACAAATCTTGCTTTTCTAGTGTGATGTGGTATCCAGGACATGCTGTAGTGGGAGAACTGGTTTCTGATGATGCCAAGTATCCTTGGTTTCTGTTGCTTGTGTTCTTGCCCTTAACTCTTGCCATCTGGGTATCTCTAGTGCTACCTGCCATGGCTGTCTCTCACTGGACTTTGTCCCTCCTGTGGATCCTTGAGCCTGTGATCTTAGGTGTGTCAGGACTCCTGGGGAGACCAGCTCTCTCTTGAGTAGGGTTTGTGTAAGGAAGGCTGTGGGATACCCTTAGCACCGGGTTGCAGATGGAGACCAGAAGTATCCTGTCCTTAGCTGCTCTGTTGTTCCTGTGGCCTGTGTGCTCCTGCTGAGTTCCTCTTTGGACAGTTATGGGAGCAAAAGTGGTACTCTCATCTGTTGGCTTCGTAGTGAGAGCTCCTGGGAGATCAGCTCTTTCCAGGCAGGACTTGGATGAGGAGGTCTGTGGGAAAGCCTTTGCTCTGGGGCACAGATGGAGACCAGTCATAGGCTCTTTTTAAAGCTACATTTACCCTTGACAGAAAATTAGCTCTTTCTTGAAGTTAATACACACTTGATGTTTCTCATGTGTATCTTTTCTGCAGTGAATGTAAGTTGTTCCCAGGACTGGATGATAGTCATCGTTAGTGCCGCTTCTCAGAACAGATACAACCCGTATGTTTTTCCTGATGAATTAGTTCTGGGACAGGGCTGCCCTGCAACTCGAATACACACATATCAGTATGATTTTATATACCCTATTTTTCACTGTGGCATCAGGACAAAGGTGAGAACTGTTTAGTTTTGTCTATAAAAGTAATAAGTGTTTTTGTCATGCTTATTTTCTTACTGCTAACATTGTGGTCCTTTACCTGAGCCATATCCATGATTCTACTGGTAATAACTAATTACTGTAGCACATTAGGCTCCCAAATGTATTCCTCCCCAATTATTGGGTCAATTTCAGGCCCGGCAGCTTGTAACACAGATCTGTACTCTTATGATGCCAGCAATGATTTCAAATAATTTAAAAAGATTCTGGTCTATTTCACAAAAGTCCAGTAATAAGTTTCTAATCAAAATTTTATTTCTGTTTATCTATATTTGTGCATGAATATGTACAGGTGTCTATGACAGCCAAAAGAGGACATCTGATCCCTTGGAGTTACAGACAGTTGTAGGCCACCACCTGATGGTTGCTTGGAACCCAAATTGGGTTCTCTGCAAGAGCCTCAAGCACTTCTATTCACCTATCCATCGTCTTAGCCTCTTCACAAACAATTTTACATTGTATTCAATGCTTCTAATGTTTCATATCTCCAGTCCTGGCAATGTATATGATATTAAATGTTCAATTCATTAGTGAATTCAGTTTAGTTATCTGAAATTTACCCTTGCTCCATTAGGATGCATGCCTATATGGGAGTGGATTTTCATTGGAATTAACTATCGGTTAGCTATTCAGCTAGGGATGAATTTAAAACTGTAATTTCATTCTGGGACATTGGTTTTTTTTCATATAGATGTTTAAAGTTTGTATTTATACTATAGTAATATTTTGGAGCCATTCACTGATTGTCTAATCACTTATGATAGGCACTGCATTGGGAAAATTAGGCACCTGGAGCTTCAGATGGGGAGGGGGTGGGGTTGCACAATTGGCTCAGCTGTGGTTTTATAATGGGCTGGTGATGTTCTACTAATAAGACAGACTGATTTCCCTCCAGAATCTGTGCTTTAAACTATTTGTTGTTGTTGTTATGTGGCTCTAAATTTTATTACTAAAAAACTGCTGAAGACTGAAGAAATCATTCTGTGGGTAAGAATGCTTCTCTGCAAACATCAGAACCTGAGTTTGAAAGTCTGCAAACCATGTGAAAAGGGTGGTATGGCTGTAATCCTAGCACTGGGGAGCAGAGATGGGTAGATGCTGAGGGCTTGCTGGCCAGCAAGCCTAGTCCAAATGGTCAGCTTCTGGTTTAGTAAGGACCCTGCCTCGAAGCAGTAAGTTGGAGCATGATAGAGGAAAACACCTACATTATGCCCTGGCTTCTGCATGTGCACAAATGGGTGGGTATATCCACACACTTATGTGCATGTAGTACATGCAGGCCATGTACAAACACAAGAGAACAATACATACATGCATGTATGTAGGCACATGCATGAACACACACATGCACATACACACACATGGGAGCAGGGAGATGTGACAGAGAGATGCAAAGGGAAAAGTGGAGAGACAGAGAGACAAAGGCACTCAGAAATAACTCCTGAATGCTTTTCATTGATATTCTATTACAAAGTCTGTCAAATGACAGTTTGCTTTGGTGACTTAGGATGCTCTTGTCTAAAAGTGCTTTCAGTTCTCTCTTACAGTGCTCCTTTTCTGTCCCATTGTTCAGTGGCTGGAACGTCACATGCACCTGAGAATGACAGAAGCCACCTTTTGAAATATCGATAATTTCTGTTTTGTGTTCACCTCTATGAGTGGCTCTTCTGTTGCTAGGACACCTTCCTCCTAAACAGTGTGATTTCCTAGGTTATCTCAGAAGAAATCGTCCGTTTTGAAACTGAGATGTACTTTCGTCCAAGGAATCATTGTTTGGAACTTCAGATAATCCCTTTGCAGTGTTCTGCATCTTGGTGAGTCCTGTGGATCTCTCTCCTTTGAGCTGCTTTAACAGAAACATATCAAATAAATAAATCTAAAATTTAAAAAAATGACTAGTCAGACAAACAGACATGAGCAGAGCTCTGGTGCATAGTCTTTAAGGTTATACATGAACATCTATCCATTCATTCACATTCAGAAATCCAACCCAGTTACTGACCAGAAACTCACTGGGTAAACCTGGTCTTGAACTTGCATTGATTCTGTTGTCTCTATATTCTAAGTTATCAAGTTGATGATGATGTGATGGTGTTTAATAAAGATAAGAATAATTTGACTCCAAGTTTTGACTTGGAAAGCTGTGGCACCAAGACCTCCAATCTTGGTTCTCTCTGTTCCCCTTCTCTTTAGGAAGTCAGTGTGGCTCATGCCAGTGTCTACTGAGGAGGACCCAAAACCACATGAGAGTTTCTTTATGACTGACTTTGAAGATATGGCAGAAACGTTGGGGTTAAATGTTCACCATGCTGCTTCCTCCTTGAATAGGAGTAGGGACGGTGCTGGCATCACAAATTTCACTGCAAGGCAAACCTTTTTTTCAATAAGAAAACAACATTGACATTAAGTTTTCCCTTAGATATCTCATTCCTACACACCAATTAAATAAAGGTTCTGATTATAAAGATGTATTCTTTGATTATTTTACTCATGTGTATGGCAGGTAAATTAGATGTTACCTATTAGGCAATTTATATTATTCAATTAAATTTTGTTTTCTATTTTGTACCTAGATTCAAGAATATGTCCTTAATGGCAAATTTGAACATTTACTGTTTATTTTTTAAATTGTGCTGGTGGTGGTGGTGTTTGTGTGAACACATACATACCATGATGCTTGTGTAGAGGATGGGGATAACCTGTGGGAGTTGATTCTTCTCTTCAACTATGTGAGTCCCAGGTCTAGAACTCAGGATGTCAGGACAGGTGGTAGGCACCTTTAACTGCTTATCTATCCTACCAGCCCACATGTTTTGATCTAATAGAAACATGTTTTAAACATTTTCAGGAAGAATAATAAACAGGAATAGGTGTATTAATGCATGAGAATAGAAACTTTGGGCCTAGTTTACATTTTAACAACAAACAAGGTAACTCTTAGGAAATAGTCTTTTGTTTGCAGATACTTTAATAATGTTTATAGTGTTCTAATTCAAAAGAGCTTCATTCTGAAACTAATTTAAGGTGACAGCATACTCAGGTGATTAATCTCTGAGAATAGACTCTAATCTAAATTCAACTCATGCTTTGAATTTAAGCAAATATTCCCATCACTGAAGTTTGATGTCAGATGTCTCCTCTCCTTCTGTAATGTTTCATCTGCATTTATGACCAAGGTTGGCAGGCAGGGACTCATCCTATGGGTCAGTCCACTGGAAGATTTTTTGTTGCTAAGTACTTCTACCTTTTTCCCTCTCAACAGAGAGCCTGCACTCAGTACAAGCCCATTAGCACAAAGGTGATGTCTCTGAAACTTGGACAAACTATATCTTCTTTCAAGTGTGTTTCTTGAGGATTTTCTCATGGGAGTGGCATGGAATTTCTCCTTTCAGCATTCTTAGGTGATAAGGTGAACAGTGCTGGAACCCCTCAGCTTCAGGAAGATGACTCTAAAATATCTTATCCCAGTGCCTGATCTCACAGGCACTTGGTTAGACTCAGGTGGGGAAGCAATGTATCTTAAATGTACATGGTGGTTTAAGGATAAGCCAGGAACAAATCCAGTTCCTTTCTTCATTTCACCAATTATGTAAGCTTCTCTCTCATAGCCTTAGTTTATCTATTAAAAAAAAAGTGCTGGTTTAAAGCATACAGAGGCGCCTATTTTTGACCTTTAAAATGTCACGTCGTGTGATTGAAGTGCTTTCTTTACATGCCTTCCATTCTTTGAACCCATTTGTATGGCTTGCTGAAATGGTTGCTTCCACTTTTAATTTACAAACAACACAGCTGAAACTTCAAGTTCTTTTTAGGACTTTTCAGCTCTAAATTTTAAAAAAGAACAGCTTTTTCCCATTTTCCTGTCCTTCTTCTTTCATCCTCTGACTCATGTTCTTGTTGATTTTTTCTCTTGTGATATTCCACCTGCAATGGCTTTTGCTGAAACAGTACTCAGGTGCTAGTGGTGGCGGCAGCATCGTCAAAGGCGTTGGTGTCGTGGGAGTAGAGGTGGCGAGATGTTTTGTATTTTACCACTGTCCTTTCCACCAATTCCTTGTGATTGCTGTTTAGGTCAGTCTTTCACCTGTCCCTGCACTTGGCTCTGGGCTTTGGAGTCAGCCTTGACGATAGGGCTGCTGCCGAACTTCTGTTTACCTAATCTCCACAATCTCTTACCCCCAAACTATCCTTCAGTTGTGATATCTGCCCTCCTCCTCTTTCATGTGCTGTTTCCACCCAGAATCTGGTATTTATGACTACTAGGACCTCACTTTTCATCCTTTTCTCTGCCATGGATTCTCATGAGATTGTAGCAATGAGGAACAAGGGGCTGGGAACTAGAGTCACGTTCATCCTTATTACATAGCTGCAAGGAAGTTGGCAAGATTTTGTGCATGGGCTGATTGTGTACTTCTTTTGGTAAAGTGGTTGTTTGCTATTCCCAGAACTCAGACTTGGATCCCCAGGACTCTGTAAACAGGAGTGTGGAGATGAATGCCTGTAATTTGAGAAACCTGCAGAGGGAGCAGGCTCAAAAGCTCAAGGTTGTTCTTAATTCCACAGTGAGTCTGAGGCTAGCTTGAGCTCTGTAATACTCTGTGACATAACAAGAGGTTGTGTTTGCATCCTAGGACTTTATGGAATGTAGAATTCAAGAGGATTCCAACTGCTGTATGGTCATTTTAACAACAGTAAGACCCAAGAGGAGAAGAGGTTAAGGTGGAATTTGTAATTGAAAAAATAAACTAAAAGGCAAAGAGTTGAAATAATTACAGAACATCCAGAAGAAGAATGCAAAGTCACATGTGTAACTAATTGGAACTAGCATAGACAAAGGGATCATGAATATGGAAGAGAAGCCCACAAAGGATTTTGGAGCTTTTCAAAGCTGCTTTTTAAGCCCAGGGCTCTTGAAATACAGAATCCTTTGGGGGAGATGGAAGCAGGATAGATTCCAAGGGCTCCCTGACAAATCTCTTAATACTCTGCTCCTAATATCCCAGAATAGCACTTCCCAGATGCTTTAACCAGGACTCAAGTAAGCCTAGGTGTCTGTCAGTTAGCCTACCCCAGAGAAGGTGCAAGATGTGAACCTTGGTATTGCCCACATATCACCAATTCTTTAGGCATGTAAGATGTAAGAGCTATAAGGCCATTTCTTAGATTTTAAAGACTATTGCAGACACTATAGATGCCTAGGCAGAAAAATGTTGTAGGAATAAAGCTCTCACAGAGACCATATATGGGAACAAATCATTTCTACCATAGAAAACTACCTGAGTTCTAGCCTTGGGGGGCTTCAGACACAGGGTCCCAACCTTAGCTGAAGCCTCAGATGATCTCTGAAAGTCACTGGGGTACAGTGGGTCAAGATAAGGCATTAGAGGAACGTCATTCATCTTGGCACTTCCAGAACGTGAGGCACAGGCTGATGTTATCACTGTTAACATCAGAGTGAGGTATAGTCAGAATCAGTTCCTAATAGAGGATGAAAAAAAAAAGACTAAAGAAACATAGGAAAGTTTTATGACTGTTCACAATTTGAAGGTGACACATCAAAGGAGGAATGGTGACAAGGACTGCTCTGGCTGTGACAGCAGTAGTGCAACAGGCTGGTCATACTCTCTGCTGTCAGGAAGCAGACAGAGATGTGTGTTCACTGAGCTCCTGTTCCTCTTCTCATGTAGCCCATGCCTCAGCCATATGATTTCAAGTCCCATATTCAAGATTCATCTTCTAAGTTAAACTTTTATGGAAACTCTCTCACAGAGCTAATCAGAGTCATATTTCACTTCCCAGGTGATCCTAAATGAACAATTATGAGTGCCCACCCTCTGCTTTCTCTCATGTGTTCTCCCTTTCTCCTTCCATTCTATGGCATGACATGAAGGCCCTCAGCGGTGCCAGTGTTCTGGCACAGGACTTCTCAGATCCTATGTCCACGAAGAAAATAAACTCTTCTTCTTTATAACTTACCTTGTCAGTGGTATCCTCTTATACCATCAGACAACAGACAAATACAGCTGGTTAAATATGAGGGAATCGGACTATCTTCTTCTCTATGTTAGTTTTGTCTTCCATCCCATTGACTTAGTAGTGGTGTTTAGGTGTTGGGTTATCTCGAGGATGGAAGAAATGGATGCAACCTGAAGCAAATTGAATAGTAAGCAACAGTTGATATAATAGTAAGCACAATATATTTAAATTGCTATTGTCCTAATTTAGGACAAATGAACTAACCTCACTTGGCCTGAGATGGTTAAACATTATCATGTCTATAAAAACAGTTAGCAACATCACTGATGCATTATGTAAACTCAGTCCCTCAGAGGCTACAGTATGTTGTCCCTCCTTCCAACACTATTCATTCTGCCTGGCTTCACCTTGTAATAACATAGCTTGACCTATTCTCCCCCATTCCACACTACCTTCCCACTGACTTAGCCACATGTTTGGCTTTTATTTCTTGCTCCAATAATGTGTGAAGCAATGTCTTAGGGCCAGAAGTTGATGGCTGCAGATATCAGCTTCCTTCTTTTTATGGGCATACTTAGGGTAGTGGATGGGTCATTACTGCCCTCAAATATGAGTGTTATTAGCACACCTTTCAGGAAGCCAGCAAAAACTCTTCCACTGGCTTTGCTGAGGCATTGCACAAGGGAGAGATTCGTTAAGCCTGAGGAAGAGGAAACTGCTGGGTTTGGGGGACAGACTCCGGTCCCCTGACTGTCTCCTCTTCAGTAGTAAGATGGACTTGCAGGGAAAGGACTCTGTCAAATCCTGAAGTCTTTGAGGTAAAACCCTACCAGCCCCTTCTCCATTGGAATTGTCTTTTCATTTTTGTCTGCTAAAGGTGTCTCCCTATGGTCTTCTTGGGGTAAAAGTCTTCTATTTCATTTCTCAGTAGAGGTTTGGAATTTTTAGCTGTGTAGATAAATGCCTTTAGAATGCAGATATTACCCTGGTGCCATTTTTTTTGGCATAATATATTTGGAAAATGTAGACTTGGATAGACATATGGCAGGCAGGCAGGCACGCACGCATGCACGCGTGCGCACACACACGCACACACACTTTGATAGAGTTAGAGGCTGCCTCTGAATTTGGTGGCCAGATCTAGCTATGAGAGGTGGTCTGGAATATCTGAATGACGATAAGTTTGGTGAGTCAGATCCTGCATGGGCTCAGAAGAAGAGTTAAGTGATAACTTGAGGCAGATTTTGACCCTTAGCTTCTCAGATCCCTGCCTCGTGGACTTGGGAATGTTATTTAATGAATTGTTTCCTCATTTGTAAAATGGAAATGTTATAATGATGATACCTGTTCCAATGGATGTTTTGAGAACTGAATTGGTTGACATGAATAAAACACCCAAAAAAGGTCTTCTACACAGATAGAACTGGGAAGGTGAACTCCTTAGTGGGACGCTAGGAAGTCTACAATTTCTAGATTTCTTTTAAAAGCCAAATTGACTATATTTTATAGAACATGGTTTGCTTTACCTGAAGGCTGAAGTTTATCTTCGATTCTTTTCTAAAAAGATCAACAATGTGTCAGACTTATTTTTTTTCTCCAAAGACATTGTGTGGTGTTTTTAGCATGAAGACCCAGTGCCTGCTAATTGATTTTCTATTATTATTCTTAAACATGACTGTTACTGAAGTATGTATTAGCTCCATACAAACTGTGAGGCAGTGAAACTGCAGAGCAAATATGACAAGCACACAGAGAGATGCAAGCACCTTTAAACTTGAAGCTCAGTTTGAGGCCTGTGAAACATGTGCTGAAGGGATTCCCCAAAGAAAGGGTTCACTATTCATACTAGGCCAGGACTAAAAGGGTTTCTTGAAAGCTTGATTTTTGCAGTATCCAGGCCAAGTTGTTGTGGGGAGAGAGAGTTTGCTTTGTGAAGGGAACAGTTCTAGGGTAGAAAGACACGGAGCAGGTTGTGACTCCTGGAACTCAGGCCCTCCTCAGGAGAGCAATCCTGATGCGTGGACAAGATGAACTCTTCTGTTAGACTAAAAAATACTGTTAGAAAGTGGTCAAAGGCCATCAAGCCTTTGGGTTCTTTCCCTTGACAGCCACAAACAGCCCTAAATGGCCTCTCAGAAACTTCCTAATACAGGACTGGGGATCTCAGCAGGGGGTACCTCACCAGGCAGACACATGGAGCCAGAGGAGACTGGTGGTTCAGTTTATCAGCTGTTGGATGAGTCACACCATGTTCAAAGAGGAGTACTGCAAGCCCTCGGGGTAAGTCAGCCTTTGTCACAAAGTTCGCTTATGAGAGACGGAACAAAAGATTACATGGACACCCTCCTGTATGTCCAGAAGAGAAATTTCTGAGTTATTTATCAAGTCATTGAGGACAAGATAGGGTCATGGAGACTGGGCAGTAGAAATAGAGAGTCAATCAGTTTCTTATAGAGTAGAATATCCATTCCAGCATACCTCAGAGAATTTATTCTAAGGATCTTTGTTGTTTCTTGGTACTTTCTGACCACTTGCATTAGGAGGTTGAGTCCTGTGAAGTTCCCCTCCCTTCCCCTCTCCTTCCCTTCTCTCTCTTCTCTCCCCCTTCCATTCCCTCCCCTTCCCTTTCTTTCCCTCCTCCCCTTCTCACCCCTTCTCTTCCCTTCCCTCACCCTTGTTTTCCCTTCCCTTCAATCTCCCCTTCCCTCCCTTTCCCTTCTCTTCCCTCCCCCAACCCTCACCTTCCCTTCTCTCCCCTTCTCTTTCCTTTTCTCACCCTTGCCTTCTTTTCCCTCCTCTCCCCTTGCCTTCCTTCTTCCTTTTCTCCTTCCCTCCTCCCTTTCCCTTCCCTTCTCTCTTTCCTATGGTGCTGGGGATGAGAACCAGGTCCTCATGGATGCCAGGGAAACACTATTATTCAGTTAAAACTCCAACCTTTTGTACATTTTTTTTATACCAAGTCTTGCTAAATCACACATGTTGACCTTGAACTCATTCTGTAGCTCAGATAGATATTTTTGCTTCAGTGATGACCATAATCTACATTTTAAATAAAAATATTTTAAAATAAAAATTTAACAGCTTTCTGGCTTTGTCATATTATGGTCCTAAACAAGATCTTTTTAGAACAAGATCTTGTTCATTTAATTTAGGCTTAGCATTTAAACCATTTAAAGCCACAATAAGTCCTTTCTGAGGAAAATAAAAATAACATTATACCTTTTTCTTTCTTTCTTTCTTTCTTTCTTTCTTTCTTTCTTTCTTTCTTTCTTTCTTTCTTCTTCCTTACAGGCCATCCAGATCCTTAATGGACTACTGATCCTAGCTCTGGGTATTTTTCTGGTTTGTTTACACCACTTGTTCCACCACTTCAGGCATTTCTTTTTCTTCACCTTCTATACAGGGTACCCACTCTGGGGTGCTGTGTTTGTGAGTATTAATTCCCTTGGCCATAGACCATCTCCTACCCAGCCCTGCTAGTGTGCTCAATATGAAAGTACTCTTTGAAGATTACCAGCTCTGGTTTTGATTTATAATTTCTGACAAAAGTAGGAAAAAGCCCCTTTCTTTCAGTCAGTGCAACTTATGATTTTATTTTTTCTCGTTATGGCTAAATAAAATTCTGTTGGGTATATGTACTACACTTTATTTATCTATTCACTTGTTAGTGGGCATGATGGACATGACCAGCTCCATCTCCTGGGTATTGTGAATGGTGCAGCAGTAAACATGGGTTTGTAAGCATCTCAGTGGTGGAACATAAAAGTCCTTGGATGTGTATACACACATACACACACACACGCACACACACACACACACACACATGTATGCGCACACACATGCACAGGGACATGGACACACACGAAGACTACTATAGCTTCAAAGCTTTCTAGACTCAGAAAGATAAAAACTGTGGTTTTTTTCTCCTTTACAGCTCCTAAATTTTAATTTTTACATATGTATCTATAAGCAAGTGTGGATGTGGGCATAAGTTGTGAGACTAGAATAGAGACCAGGAGAGGAGAAAAGAGATCTGAAGGGAAGGAAGGACAGAAGACAGCAGCAGCACAAGTGTCATGTGAAAGAAGATGGAGCATCAGCACCGGTTCTTAGTCTGAGAAAAGACTGTGTGCATTTTCAGTTCATGGTGTAAGCTGCTCATTCACAGTGGCACTTGGAATTTGACATTTCTGAAATTCTGAGAAAGTTAAGATAAAATTTGGATGGAAGTGTTAAACTCAGAAGTATTCCTGAATTGTTTTACATAATAAGTCTTGACAGCCCAAGTGAAGAATTTCTGCTCTGCATTTTAGAAAAGAAAGAAGAGTAGAATTTCAGGTGTTACATAAGCATTGGGTTTTATTTTCTCAGAAAGTGAAATTGGTTTGTTTAAAAATGGAAGGGGAGCCAGAAAGACGGCTCAGCAGTTAAGAGCACTGGCTGTTCTCCCAGAGAATTAACTCAGCTTCCATTTTCAGCACCCACAAGGAGGCTCACAACTGTCTGTACCTCCAGCTCTAGATTCAACACTCTCTTCTGACTTCTACAGGAACTGTACGGATGTGTAGAGACACATGTAGGCCACACACATAAGTTTAAAAGGGGAAAGGATTAGGGATCAGGATTTGCTTTAGCACCACCAAAAGATTTGAGCATTGATTCTAATTCTCAAAGCTGCTCTATGGCCCCAGTACACTTTTAGGGAAAGTTCCAGGTGTATGACCTGTTCTCCCTGTCTACCTTTGTCTGTAGCCATCAACTCCTGGAACCATGAGCATGCCGGCTGTACACCCACTATAGGGTCCTTTCTATTGCTTCATCTTTTATAATCCTATCAGGGATGTGGTTTAAAAGATTAGACGTGAACGTTTGCCCTCAGTTTCCTTACTAGGGTGTCAGAAATAGCAAAAAGATCTTCTTTTGGGGTCTCTGAAATTAAATGAGATGCATATATTATCATTATTTTGGATACGTTCTTTCTCCTACACTTTTTACATAGTCTCCCCACTTTAATAGCACACAGCTGTTAGTAGATGATGTTAACATGGGGACATGTTATTAGATGGGAAAAGAAGCTGAGCTGAAACAAGGCTTAGTGATCTACCCAGAACCCCACGCTGGCTATAAGCTGGAGCTACTATTGAAAACAAGGGTGCACATTCACAAAGTACAGGGTTGGGAAGACCTGTGAAAAATCTCTGGTATCTGAGACAGAACTCAAAGCCTCTTCCTACATTTTATCCAGAATTCAGTAGTTAAGTTTTGCTTAGCAAGCCTTTATTCTCCAAGAGTTAGTAACTTGGATAAAGAGTTATAAAATCTTACCAACTGAAAATTTTGAAAAATCATAAATATATAGAAAAATCTAATTTATCAAAATTAGAGTCATGGAAAGATAGCGCATGAATATAATGATTTTAAAACTGGAGAATGCATTTAGATTTATAAGTGCTCTTTTGAAGCATCTAGACCAATAAGTCAGATAAGTCTGAAGTATGGGCAGAGATATGAAAACTTGAAAATGTATCATTTATAGTAACATAAATATAACTATAGTATTTCATTATTTATATGCATATATTAAACCCATTAAAAGATAAATGTAAAAAAATGAAATTATGACGGATTTACTTATATTATGAACTATTTAAAATTTAGTCATATAAAATAATGCATAATGCAAAGTATGCTTTTTTGTGAACAAAAACAATTTGGGTAACTTCTACTGATAGCTGCTGTCAGGGGAATGTCATGGAGAAAATGCTCAAGACTAAAGGTCCCTTTATCTGCCCTACTTCCTATTGTAAACAGTTTATCAGCTCAGGATCCTTGACTGTTGCAGCAGGGAGAAACCCCACAAGAATGCTGGTAAGTGCCAGTTCTTCCTCTTTTTCTCTATGACCAGATGAGCAGAAATAAATTACCCACCAACCGTAAGAAAGATGAGGAACCAAGTCTCACTTAATGCACAAGATTTTTGTGTGCTGTTAGGTTTAACAAATTATTTTTGGTGAAAGGTCTTTCACTGCTATCTTCGAATTTGAAAGCAAAAATTTCTCTCTTTTTGATTATCCATTACAAAATTGGTAACTCTGTTTTATGCTTCTGAGTTATCTAGCTGTTTAGTCCCATTCTGTTCAAACCCCCCTCCCCCACATACACACACACACACACACACACACACACACACACACACACATCGGCTTTTTCATGACAACATTCCATCCTTAAACACCTATCTTTTTCTTTCATTCCCACTCCCTGATGATGGGTTCACTCTTTTCTGAGAAACTGAAGCCATGGAGAGACTTTCAGACACATACACTAAAATACTGTAACATCTGCTGTGTGCACTAGACCTGCTCCAGGGTTTCCCTCAGCTTTTACCATGGAGGAACTCACTTACTTTCTTTAGAGCTGATCCTCCTACTTGGGTGTTCTAGCCCATGCCCTTTCCCACTATACAAATTCATCACTTTAATACATTTCTACTAGGTACTTTAAAGTTAAATCAGCATTTAAGTATCTATCTATCTATCTATCTATCTATCTATCTATCTATCTATCTATCTATCTGTATCTATATCATCTTGGCATTATTTTTCCCTGATAGCTAGGTACAGTTCATTTTTCTGTTTGTGACAAAACTCCATTTTAAAGGCGTTATCTATAGCCTGTCTACAATTCTTATCTATTCAGTTCTAGTTAAACCTTCCTACCTTAATTCTTTTGTTTCTTCCTGGCTTCTGTAATTTCTCTCTTTAAGAATATTGAAAGTGAACAGGTTCTTGGCCCCCTCCTGACTTCACTCATGAGCACTGTTGTGCTCAACTCCTCTCCTGGTAATTTTTCTCTTGGGCTCCAGAACACCTTGAGTAGCTTATGTTCCTCTTGCCCTTTGAAGTCTCCTTTACAGTCTCCTGTTGAGGTTTGCTCTGTTGCCACTTATTGTAATGCTAAATACTTGCCCCCAAGATCTGGTTGCCTCAGGGAGGAGGGAATCCTCTCATAACCAAGTGATGCTATATAACCTTGATACTTAATTTAAAACTGTTGGTTGAATAAAGATGCCTACAGCCTATAGTTGGGCAGAAGAGAGGTAGGTGGGGCTTTGGGTCTGAGGAGAGAACCAGGGTAGAGAGAGAAGGTGGAAAGAAGACAAGATGTCATTGGGTAAGAGATAATGAGAACAGGCCATGAGGGCTGGCCAGTCAGAGTAAAAGCAGCCCAGGCAGAACATGGCTAGTCATATATCTTGGAGTTATTGGCAGGGAAGTAGATATAATAGCACAGGGGTTGATATCAGCCCAGTTCTAGTGCTTTAAAGGCTTATTGTAAATATAAAAGTTTTGTGTCTTTTATCTGGGAACTGAATGATCAAAGGCAGGGTAGAAAGCCCCGATTGAGATTACATATTTACTACAACAGTCTCCTTTTCCTTTTCCAAACTCTATAGGGCTGCGTTCCCAGTGTTCCCATTACTGGCATCTTCTCTGCTCAGTCTGTATTTACTTTGATGATTTCAGACATTTTCATTGCTTCAGATGACACTGCTATGATCACACGCCTGATATACACTCCTGACAAAAATTTTGTTCTGCTAAGATTTTTCTCCTGAGCATCAGGTTGTCCCATCAATTTTTCTTCTACTTAGAACGCTGAAAGGTCCCAAACTCAACTTCTGTTATCCCTCAAACCTGTTCTATGAAGTCTCTTCTTCATGTCAACTGATGGAAACTTCATCCTTCTAGATTCCTAGACCAATAACTTGAGCTATCCCTATCCTAATCTCTTCTTTCACATTCCTGAAGCAAGTATCAGCATATTGCATCGGCTCCTTCTCATAAGTTATGTTTGTATTTGGCTTTTTCTCACCTTTCCTCTGATGGCATTCCATGTTGTCTCCTAACTGGGCTCTTTGCTTCCATTTGTGGATCTCATTTTCCTGATCTTAATAAAAACAAAATGACTCAGTTTGGGTTATTGATCTATTATTTCTTTACTCAAAATCCTCCATCAATTTTGTGTTTTTCTCAGAATTAGAAATAGAATTTTCATGAATTACATGGCTTTACATAATACATATCTCTGTTAATCCTGACTTAGTTTCCTAATATTATCTACCATTGCTTTCTTGCCTCCTGGGAACATATTGCCTTAGGGACTTTGAACTGTCTTTTTTACCCAGACTTCCTTTGGACCATCTAGGGAAATTTATTCCTATCCCCATATGTTATTACTATGCAATGCCTCCACTACTTTCTTTAGATTTCCATTTTGTTATACCATTCTATTAGCCTCAATATTTAGTTACTTTAAAAATATGGCATAATTTATACACTAGTGTGTTTATAGTTTTCCTTTTTTTTGTATATTTGTTGTTGTTGTTGAGATATGGTCTCATACATTATAGGCTAGCTTTGAGTGGTAATTTCTGCCATCACCCACAGAGCACTGGAATTACAGAATCAATGACACCCAGTTTATGCAGTACTGATGATTGATACTGGGACTTCATACATGCTAGGCAACCGTTCTACCAATTGAACTATATATCCTAACCCCTTCCTTGTTTTACTGCTGGTCTTTACACTCTTTGTGCGATGGGAGAATCTCAGTTCACAGGAGACTGCTCTGTGCCTAAAATACTATTGGGTGCTTAAATATATGCTTCAGTTGCCAAGGGTTTGAAGGATGTTCTACATATATTAATGGACATTTTATTTTTGTTTTAGATGCAAAACAGTTTTGGAATGAACATTGCCAGTACAACAATTGCATTTGTTGGGACTGCTTTCCTTTCTGTACATTTGGCACTCAATACCCAGGCTTTAAAGGGTTGCCAGTCTTCGCCATCACCTGATGTATGCATTTTCCTGGGTTCCTCATCAAATGTATGTTTAAAAACTGATAATAACATATTTTAAACCATTCAAAGTATACAGGAAAACAGCATGTTGTATATATACTATGTTAACTTGAATATTGGCATTATTATTTATTAGTTTTGTAATGAAGGACACATTAGACAATCTGTCTATATTTTAATTTTCTTATCTTTGAAATAAAGATAATAATGAGTAGCACCTACCTAATAGATTGCTATAAAATGTAGTACATTAATATTTGGTAAGTAATGAAAAAAGTATTTAGCCATCATGTTGTATTATTATTACTGCTATTTATTATACTCACCAGAAATAATACATTAATTTACTTCACATACATTTGTTTGATGTAACAAACTTCAGAGACATACCACTTATTCTGCAACTTGGAATGTTTGTTCATGTTAGGTATATGCTATCAACTTAGTTACATGCATATGTATATTTGGTCTAGATTTTGTGTGACTATGTGAGTGTGTTGCCTATATCCCCAGCATTATGTATGTATGTATGTATGTATGTATGTATGTATGTATGTATGTATGCATGTATGTGCACTATGTGTGTCTTTGGTGCTGGAGGAAGTAAGAAGAGGGTACTTGATCTCTTAGACCTGGAGTTACAGACTTTCAATATGATTGTGACAAACCATATTGGTACTTGGAATTGAACCTGGGTCCTGTGTAAGACCAACAGGTGCTCTTAATTACTGAGCCATCTTTCTATTCCATCCTTTATTAAATTTTTAATCACCTAAATTTGTATTTATCTATGTCTGTTTTATGGAGTAAGTAGTATTTTTCCTCTATAGAAATTTGATCATGTATTTCTTCTAGGTGCTCAGCAATGATGGTAAATTTCTGTAGTAATATGTTGTTCCTCCTAGCATTGTATTTTGGTCTATATGCTTAATGTAAATGCCTACACCTCCCCTGAAATCCTGTCAGTGAAATCATAATCTTTTGTCCATTTCACTAAACTGTGTATTCTTTTCTGTACTTTATGACAATGATAAGTGTTATTGATGGTGTCAGAATTTTTATTCTGTGATTTCTTCTCCCCTTGATAGTTCATAAAGTCAATCTTCAGTCTAATCTGCATTACACTGCAAGGGTTCTTCAGTCTGTTTTCCTGCTGACAAGTTTTCCCTCTGAATGTTTCCACCAATTTAATCTGAGGCATTATTTCCCTAGGGCCTGGTGTCTTTAAAGCTGATTCTCACCCTGCTGGAGCTGGCCATGACCATTTCTATCTCAGCCATGTGGTGCCTAGGAAATGTTTGTGGTTCAAGAGAGGTGAGTTTGTGTAAATGTTGAGCATGTTCTGTCATCTGAAAATTCCACAGTGGTTGAAGTTATTTCCAACTTTTAGAATAAGAAAACTTTGTATGGTTATGATTTGTGGGGTTCTGGGAATTATTTCTTAGATCAATGTATGAGATGAAGTAAGGCTGGAAATGATTCAGATTTGAATATCTAAGCTATATATTAGTATATGTTTTAATGCAACTAAAATTAATTTAAATTATTTTCTTATAACTTTTACTTTTGAGATGTATGTCTCAGGATGACCACATACATATTCTTGCTTGATATTTAGATCATATAATTCAGTTTCTTAATTTGTTTCCACTTGTAATTCCTTTTTGGTCAAGGAAGCTTTACACAGCCCTAGCGGGACTCCTAAGAGTGGAAATGAGGATATCACTGACTCTTTTGCCTGATCTTTCCTAGTCTCATTGGATCTTCTTAGGCCATATTTGGTTGATATCCCCAGGAGATCTTCTGTGAAGTGAAATGGCAGAGCAGTGGATCTTGGGGAGAAGGGAAGTAGGGGCATGAACTGGGAGGAGTGGAGGAAGGGGAAATTGCAGTCGAGATGTATGAGAAAAGATTAAATAAAAACCAAAAAAAGAAGTTTAAGGGTCAAACATTCATGGATAGTAAATCATAAAGAAATTTATTTAAAACAATTAGTTGGCGTTTAATTTAACCATGTACTAAAGATCAAAGCATATTTTCATATTAATGAAATGAATGTTCTTATTTATTTTTCCATAATAATGAAATCTTGGCTAAATATTAGATGTTACAAGATGGTGATCATTTTCATGTTTCTGAAAGTGGCTGAGAATAGTGCTTTGCATTAACATATAGTATCAAACAACAAAAATATGTTTAGTATGTTTATGGCCATTTCGAAAAATGCTGGAAATTTTGTCCTAATCCCAAGTCAAAACTCATTCAGCAATGTTTTACAAACTCAAGTCAACAACCCAAACAGCAATGTTAAACATCAAACTCACTCACATAAAACAAACCAAAAATATGCTAATTTGATGCTTATATGTTAAGGAAGTATAGTAGAAAATATTACAGGTATTTGCCTTCTGTAATTATATTACTAGGCTTTTAGAGAGACATTGCTGCCATTTATAACATAGAAATATCTAATTTGAGCAGCATTCACTGGTGTTTTGTGGTGTGGTCGCACCAAGCTGTGTGTTCAGAACCAAGTCTTCAGTAAAGGCATACAGTTCAATAGGAGCATGCAGAAGCACCTTAGATAGGTTATACATTTGATTTTATTGACTGTCACCGCAATCTCCATATTCAGTTCTGCAACCACATATGTAGTGGTAACCCACAGAAATGAAAATAAAAATGTTCTGTTTGTCTCTGGTCCATATGCATACTATCATTATTCAGTGTTTAATAGAGTAATCATCAGTGAAGAAATCTTTGTGGATCTGTGATAGCGATCATGGTGGTACTGAGAAAGGATGGAGTGGAGAGGGAAGATGATGATCCTCTTCTTAAGAACTGGTGTCTCATTTTCTAGGCAATTACTTCACCTCCTAATTCTATGGAATCAGGAATGCCTCCTGAAGGAAGCGATTCTGAGAACCTGAACACTCAGCCTCCAACCACCGAAGAGTGAGAACTGCATCTGCGAACTCAGCAGAGCATGAACAGATGGAACACAATCTTTCCTTGTGGAAATGGAAATGTCCACGAGGACGCTGGCATCTGTTCCAATCTTTTCCCTGCCTCTCTGTAAATCCACTAGCATGGTCTAGATCTGGACGAATAAATATATTTCTTTAGATGTTCTTGGATCAACTTCTAGGGTCATTCTTCCAAAGCTCTTTCCAGATATTGATCTCTTTTTTTCCTTACTCCTTTGCTTTGTGAGGCTTAAGGATGAAAGAACATATAATAATTCTCTTTTTCCCCCTTTCTTTTGAAACCCAGTGTCTCATGCCCTGTAGGCTGGCTTTTAGTAAACCATGAAACCAAGCCTGTCTTTGAACTCCTGGTTGTCCTATCCTCACCTCTCAATTTTCAGGATTATAGGCACACAAGAGCATACTCAGTTTGATTTTTTTATACTCAAACCCCTCATAATGCCTCAGCTTCCCAACTACTGAGATTACAGGTGTGAGCCACCACACCCAGCGATCATCCCTATTGTCTGGACTCTCAATAGAAGTGAAATTTCAGCTACCTCTTGGGCATGAGAATGAGCTGGACTTTTTTTTTTTTCATCACAGGAAAAAAAAATGCTTCTTGATTTGGTTGATGTCAGAATTCCAAGTCTAGCACTTTAAAACAAATCATTGTGATTCATTTTCACTTCACTGTACTTGAACCTCAAGCTTCAGATTTTATATCCATCAGCTTCTAGGAGTCACACATGTCCTGATACAATGATGGATGTGTTAGGGGATTTTGTTCTATATGACCATTTTTCATTAATTCTATTTCTACTGTGTTACAGATGATCTACTTTCTTTTATTTGAATACATCTTCAATCATCTTTTATCAGAGCATGTTAATGGCACACAAGAACACTGTGGCTTCCTCACTAGAATTTCCTATGGCCAGAATTGACTACTACCTTTAGATTCTGGTGGAGTTGACCTCACTTTGAGGCCCAGGGACATACCCTGAATGGTCAAACTCTATTAAAACACTTACACTGATGATTGTATTGGTCCATGATATCTCCATGGAAGCAGCTTGGCTCTCGTATGGAGCCATTTCACTGAGGAGGCTCTATAACATTTTTATAAAATCTATGACTCAAATATAGCTGGAAATAGAAGCCATTAGGAGATAACATCTTAAAAGTTGCTGAATAGTTAGTTACTCTGGAGTACACACATGAGAAATTTAGAAAATAAAAATGAACTTTAATTCAGCCACCCCTGGAATATGCATATAGAATCTGATGTCTCATAAATTTGAGAAGTGTGTGTGCAGGCCAGGGGACTACCTCTGGTGTCATGCATTCTCAGGCACCAACCACCTTATTTGTTAGTTTGTTTTATAGACATGATCTCTCACTGGAAGTAGGGCTCATCAGTTAGCGTTGGCTGGCTGACCAAGGAGCTCCAGGGATCTGCTTGTCTACTTCTCTTTGCTGCTGGCAGTACCAGGGTGTGCCACCATGTCTGGCTTTTATTTCATCCTTAAAATTTACTCAATGCAAGAATCAAACCTATGTCTTTGTGTTTGCACAGCAAGTACTTTATGAATTGAGCTGTCTCACCAGACCTATAGTTTGTAGTGATTAACTTCTGTTTTTGTTGTTTATTTCCTTTATTTTTTCAAGTTTGTCCAACTACTGCTGTAGTCAGTTTAACTTTTAAATATGGTTTATACATTTTGCATTTTTTAAAAATTAAAAACTTCATGTCCTTACAATATAAAGTGTTTCACTTTTTATTATGTTGAAAATATTTTATATTATGAATTTGATTTTTGACTATAGAGAATGACATTATAACATTTTGGCTTGTAGGAAGCTAAAAATTCTACAACTTTTCACTAAGATGTTGCTATATTCAGATATAGAATTGTACACACATTTCTTTGGTAACTTCCTAGGCCAGTGACATTTCCCCCCATTGTTAGGATAGCACATTGTTGTAGTTTAGTGACATAGCTTATGACGGTTCTCACACCTAGGATAGATTGTTTTCTCTATATAGTTTTTTCATGATTTACTTGGTTTTCCTTGCTTATTTGCATCTCTATTCAATTTTTAAAAATAACTTGTTAACGTTCAGATTGCAGTTGGAAATTTTGATTTGAATCATGTTAGAACATTTTTATTATTCTTTGAAAAATTTATCAATGTGTGCAATATATCTTGATGAAATCCACTTCCCACTCCTTCTGGACAATCTCTAACTCACCCCTCTCCCAACTTCAGGTTCTCTCTATTTCCCCTTTTTATTTCATAATCCACCAGGATCAATTAGAGACTCTTATCAGTACTCTGACTGCTCTGGTTAGTTTGATTTTACATAGGTCTTGTGCAGGTATTCACAGTGGGAGTGAGTTGATGAGTACAAGATTTTGTAAGCTAAACTTTTTACTTAAAAAAAGTAAGCCAAATAGAATAGAAAACTCCTTAAAAATTATTGAATTATAGTGGAAACAATAAAATAGACTTGGTTAAACCTTCAAATGTAATGATTTAAGGATCATAGATAGGAGAATGTTTGGGGTAAGAGAGCTGTCATGGCAACCATTCATGACACCATATGACAGACGATATCTAAACTTTGCCTATGAGTCTGCAGCTCATGATATTACATATCAGGAGATGTTCTTATTTTTTTAAAGTACAACCATATAGCATGATTATTTTCCTCATGAAAACCATAGTTTTGGATAATAGAAGGTATATGGAAAGAGAAGAATGAACATGAATTACACAATCACCTTGGTACCTAACTGGCCCTTGGACTGTAATACCATACAAAAGCTGCCCACAAAGATTCAAGAAAATCTTAGAGTCATAACGAATTGCATAATCTTGCTCTAAAATTTTCTGAAGTCATATGGATAAAGAAATGGAGGTTTTGCCTTAGAGTTTGCACTTGGCCCTTGAGTAATTTTAGCCATTTGTCCCATGCCCATTTTTATAATCATATTTGCCATGAAACCCTGGAGCTTGATGTCAGTCTAGACTGTTTAAACTATATTATGTGTGTATGTATAAAATCTTTTCTTTGCTTACCATATGTATGTGTGCATGTGTGGATTCACATCTATGTGACTATGGAGGTCAGAGAATAGTTTTGTCAAGCCAGTTCTCTACTTTTACCGTGTGAGTCCCAGGATTTGAACACAGGCCCTTGGGATTGGCAGAAAGCATCTTTACCCACCACAGAAAGGAAGAGATGGAATGGAGGTTGTGAAAAAAAGACAAGAAATGAGAGGGCAGAGGTTGTGATTACTTGGTGGGAAGTATCAGAAAATGAAAACCCTCTAAAGACAACCTAACTTAAAACCTTTGAGATGAAAAGTTGTTTCATATACCTAAAATTAAAAAAAAATATTTCAGTTAAATTTAGAATTACTTTGAGAAAACATTTGCTCATGAGGGATTTAAAAGTAAATTTCTTTTGAGTTTGGGGTTTACCCCTAACTAAGAACCTATTTGTAATTGATAGCTGCTGAGAGATTTGGGGGTCATTTTTTTGGTTTGGTTTTGAGAGGGAGCACATGAAACTGGGTAGGTTGGGAACTGAGAAGGATCTGTGAGGACTTGTGGGAAGAGAAAGAATATGGTGAAAATATATTCTATGAAAATTATGAAAAATTAAAAATATAATGAAAAAAATTCTAGGATATAATTAACTAAGCAAAGAAATTTGATATCAAAGAGAAAGCCAGAGTAAAGTACATATGAAAAGCTTGTGTGTGCTAGAAGAGAACTGCTGTGTGTTGGGGAAGAAATGCTAGCTCTGTTATCTCTTCTGTCCAGGCAGATGCATGGTTAAGAATCATCTTGGTAATAGTACTCACCCCAAAGAAAGTCATTTGATCATATGCTCTGATAGTGTCTTGGAAAGCTGGAACTACTTGGCCGTGAGGAACTCGGCTATGAGTACAGAGTGTGCTAAGTATCTCAGGAAAGGGGGAAGATGAACTGTTGGTGAACACTGAGGCATGAGATAATTGGGAGATCGTAAGTCACCTTTCAGTACTCTATTAGCATCTTGTAAAGTGCTGTTGGAAATTTCCACGGAACAGCATATGTCCAAACACAGAAAGCTACCCTCAGTCTGTTAATGCTCCAACTCTCAAGTCAGATTGCTGAGTTGTTGTTGTTGAACACAAGCCTGTAGATACTTGTAGGAAACACCAAAAAAGACCCTTACATTGATTTAAGACTTTCCCCTGCAGACACATGTGCATTTGTGAAGGTTGGATAGATGAATGAAATTTCTAAGCCAATCATTTTATAGCTGGAGTCAAATATCACCTTCCCCGAGAATTCTTTCTCTGAGCTTATGCAAACTCTATCAGTCAATGTTGTAACCTGCTTCATGTTCCAGCAGCCTCTGGCCTCTGACCTTCTGGGTAATCATTTTTCATTGTTCACATCTGCAAGGTTGTGGGCTGGCTAAGTCTGAGATCCTGGCCTTCAATAATTCCTGCTCCATGTTATGATCAGTTGCTAGCCAGAAGCATTAAGTCCTTTCTGTATAAATGAATAAGAAGATGGGGATTACTTCTTAATTCATAAAGTGTATTTGTTAGATGCACTGATTCCCAAAGATACAGTGGAAGGAAGGTAGTTGGAACAGTAGTATTTTGTTATGAAAAGTTTGCCAGTATGTACATTAAAATCACATATATATTAATTTATATATAATTAATTAATAATATTATATAATTAATAATCTATACTATTAATTATCAATATATATATATTATATATTAATATATATTAAATTCTTTTGAGACATTTTATTATATCCCAGGAAAATAACTGAGTTGATTTAGGGTACCATGCATAGTATCTTATAGTTGTGAAAAACCATTCATAGAACTAAACTGAAATATAAGCAAGGCAGACCTGTGAATTCTCTCTTATTCATTGTATTCTGGGGTAGTTAGTTGTGATATAGTCGAGTGAATACTTTGTCTGGGCAGACGTGTTACTCAGTTTCCACTGGTCAGACTTGTTCACACCATTTTTATTTATGACATTCACATCTCTCCATCTTTTCCTTGTCTTGTTCTTACCATTACAAGAGTGCAGCAGTTGCCATAGAAATGTTCAGATAAAGTATATTTCATAATTCAAATCATACATTGAATAATTCCAGTGGCATGGTTTACAGCAGTTAGAACTCTGATGGACCTTTTTTCAAGGTCATCTGCTGCAGATAGTAAATTCTATCCAGAAGACAGGAAGAGAGAATGAGAAAGGGGTGAGGAGAGGTGGGAGAGATAGAGAGGGGGAAGGAAAGGGAGGGGAAGGGGAAGGGGAAGAGAGAGAATATAAAGTCAGAGATATATGCATGAAGCTTTGATCCCACACATGAAGCCAATAGAGCTCGTGACATAGGTATAGTAGATGAAGCTGCCAAAGAGCACCCTTGCTTTTCCTTCTGCTCTCTTTTATCTTCTCAGTGCCTAGATGCTTCAGTATTAGGTTCCATAAATGCCACATCTTGGGCAGAATTATGCTCTAAAATGCTCATGTTTCTGTCTTCGTCCTGTTCTCTATTCAGTAGATGTCTCGGTTTTGCATTACTTTCTATTATAGCAAGAGAAAAGAACCACTGATATCAATCAGCCCTGAGACTTATCTGACAAGTAGGTTCCGCATGAAGATAATCATTGGTATTCAGAGTCAACCTATCTTAACTGCCCATCCAGAGCACACCAAGTTTCTGCATAACAGTATCTTTCATTCCTGGATAGCCCAACTAACGAACAAATGGACACAGAAAATAAGAGCAGAGCAGATCTTGCTCTCCCAAACCCACAGGAATCCTCCAGGTAAGCAAAGACTAATATTTTTTTCATTGAAGTTTTTTTTTTTTTTTAAATCAAGACAGAGAAATTCACAGTGCTGGCCAGGCAGATGCCAATTCATAGATTTATTCACAGACTCCAGTAAGTTATTTAAATTTCTTAGTGTCTTATTCTCTCGGCAGTTGGGAACAAAGTTTTTACTTGACTTGAAAACTGGAGATATCAGATTTTCAAGCATTGGAGACTTGTGGTTTGGGGTATGAGACAGGGAGTTTGAACATACAGATCTCTTGTATCTGTATCTTATGTTTGTTTTAGAGCTCACAGGATTTACAAAATGATCTTGATCCTGGTTGGCCCTTGTGATGTTTAGGGCATGGGATTCTACACCCAAGATTAAAATAGGAATAGAGACTGAGCTAGCCCTTCAAAGCAGTCTTCTGTGTATGAAGCTGTATGCATTGACAAAACACATGCAGAAACATTTCTATGCTAAAATCTCTTTGAGGCTGACAGGCAGGCTTATTACAGATAGAGATTTTTAGGAAGGAACTTACGGAAACCCAGGATCCACAAGAGCATCCAGCACATTTTTGTTCTATTATGGTCTATATTAACAGTTGGATAGTATTCAAGTGTTGATGGTTGGTTGCTTTGACTTTCTGAGCCTTTTACTCAGGCACTACACCAAAGAGTTCAACTGCAGGATTCTCTTGAGGAACAGTTAAGACATAATGGTTCAGTTTCTGATAGTTAATAAAATCCCACAGAGAGTTAGAAGATTTTTGTCTAATTAAATTTTTGTAAATTTCAGTGCAGCTGACATTGAACTCTTGGAAGCATCTCCTACTGTGAAAGCTCTACCAGAGAAGCCAGCCCCACCCCCACCACAGCTGACATGGCAGACATTTCTGAAGAAAGAGTTGGAGTTCCTGGGAGTGAGTGTATAGCCTTTATTCTCAACTTAAAATGCCGGCTGGTTCTAGGACAGAGTATTTAGTCATATTAACATTTTCTCTTGTGGGCTGATGGCGTCCAATAGCATTCTTGATAGGCAAGGAATTGATGATATTATTTGATCATTCTGGGAAGAGAAAGGCATTTTCTCATAAAGACTTTGAATTACTAGGTCATAAATGGAAAACAGGAATGAAGGACACAAAATGTCTGCTGTTAATTAGATAGAAAGAATAATTACGTATGTCTACCATAAATATGCAAATAAAGATGTGTGTGACAAGTTTTGATAATGTATGCATTAGATTCTACTAGTCATGGTTCAGGATATATAGTGAGTTGAAGACAGTAGAAAAGATCACAACTGGGTCAACCCAAGGAAAGCCTATGACACTAAAGAGATTTCTCATATTCAGTCTTACTTACAGAGCAATGGGTACAATCTTGAGAAAATATATCCTAACTTTATAAAATTCATGTTTTCCACAGGTAACACAAATTCTGGTTGGTTTGGTATGCCTTTGTTTTGGAACAGTTGTCTGCTCCGTACTCCACATGTCAGACTTTGATGATGAAGTGGTTTTATTATATAGAACAGGCTATCCATTCTGGGGTGCAGTGCTGGTGAGAACATATCTGTAATTATTTCTGAAATAATGCTAACTAGAGATTTTCTTTTAATCAAAACTAATTAGTTTTCTTTTATTAAAATGCTTATCTCTAGCATCTCACTAATATCTACAGTTCTTCATTTATATGCACACAGCATCTATAAATGTAGTTTCCAGAGCACGCTCCACGTGTACCCATTAACAAGAGCAAATGAGTCCTTTTTACATTTTTATTTATATTTATTTTAAAGCTTTATATATATATATATATATATTTTTTAAAAATACTGGGACTTGCTACACTTCCCAATCCGAGTATTTTCATTACTATCTTTCCTTATGCTAAAGATCCATCTCCCCAGTTACAGTACATGTTAGGCAAGACTCACCCACCAATCTACATCCTCTACTTTGAGCTTCCTTTCTCTCTCTCTTTCTCTCTCTCTCTCTCTCTCTCTCTCTCTCTCTCTCTTTTCTTTCTTTATTTTTCATTCTGTCTTTATTATTAATCATTCCATTCTTTTACATCTCAAATTATATTCCACTTCCTGTTTACCCCCTCCACCAACTCCCCCATCCCATGAGATCCCACGTCCTGATTACCCCTCCACTAAGCCCCCCAGCCTACATCTACCCTCCCCCCTCCCTTTTTCCTGTATGAGAGTGCTCCCCCACCAACCCACATTCTCCCACCCCACCACTCCAGCATCCCCTTACTCTAGGGCATCAAACCTCCCTGGAGCCAAGGGCTTTCCCTCTTGTTGTTGTTGGGCAAGGCTATCCTCTGCTACATAGAACAAAAGATGCTTATCAACAGTTAAATGTGGTTTAAACCATTAACATATTTTTATTGACCTAAAAACTTGAGACTGTGTGAAACTATAAAAGAATAAATACATTGATATCTAAGAAGTTAAATGATTTGCCTAAGACTCATAATCAAGAAAATACCCTTAACACTAGCTATTAATAAAATTACATTTTTAATGTAACCCTTAACACTACCTATTAATAAAATTACATTTTTGTCCATTAATAAAAGATAAGACTGGAGAGAGACCTTAGTAGTTAAGAATGCTTGCTGCTCTTCCACAGGACCCGAGTTTAGACCTCAGTACCATGTCGTGTGCTTATGACTGACTGCCTGTAACTCTAGCTCAAGGGGATAAGAACGTTCTTCTGGCCTTCTTGGGCATTCATACACATTGGTATATACATACAGAGATATTTGCACATACTTGCACATAATTTTTTTAAAAAATCTTAAAAAATACAATAGTATAAAAAGTTGTCTTTAAGAAGGGAGGAAAAAGATATATTATTCAGATGAGAACAAAGTTAACAATATTGAATGAATACAATTCCTTTTAAACATTCCACTGTTTGGAAAACAAATGAATGAATGAGATCACAAGGTCATATAGCTTTATATATGTGTAGTACACATGCAATAAATAGCATAGTCTGTGTGTAGAAAATTCTGTATATAGAAGGAACAGGATTTGATAAAATTTGACTCAAAATTTGATAAAATTTATACTTATACATACATACGTATATATATGAAATACTAGCTTATATGTCACCCTCAATATAACAAGCCTATCCATGATTTTGAAGGCTACATTCACTTTCCTACAACTCTTCCTGTCTCTCTCTACTACCCGACTACTCATCTTGAAGCAATCACTATAACTGAAAATTAGTTTTCAATTTTTAGTGTTGTAGCAATAGAACTGCATGCTACAATGTCTTATATGCCTACGTTTCTTCATTTCATATCATCATTGTGTACTCTCTTTTTATCAATAGTTCAGTTATAAATATGTACTCAAATCTAAGGAAACCATTGCACTGATGTGCTGTTTAGTGTGTAGTTCTTAGATCTCTTGGTCATATGGTCAAGAAGATTCTTGACCATCTACCACTTGTACTTTATAGTTTTCAAGCATTTCATTTTAAAAGTCATTTATTCTCTGTATATGTGTTTCTGTTTCTGTCTCTCCTCTCCCTCTCTCTCTCTCTCTCTCTCTCTCTCTCTCTCTCTCTCTCTGTGTGTGTGTGTGTGTGTGTGTGTGTGTGTGTGTGTGTATGCCGGTGCCATAGTGCTCATGTGGAGGTCAGAGAGCAACTGTAGGATGTCAGGTCTTTCTTGCTACTTTGTGAAATCAAGGAATTGAACTCAGGTTCTGTTAGAAGCACTTCTACCTGCTGGGGCATCTCATAGACTCAAGTATCTGGTTCTTTAAGTGCCTTGGAACACACAAATCCCAGTTTCTTAGAGGATGGTCTGACTTTGAGGTCTCAGTTTTTACTTTTTACTAAATATTCACAAATGTACATTTTCATAGTTAACTATATGACCATGTGCTTGATGTCAGACTCCATAGCTATACTAGGCTAGCCTGAAGGAGCTGACAGTGTAAGACAGGACATACGAACCAAGCATTACAATAAATGAGACCACTGTTACAGTTGTACAGCATTTATCACTAGCCCTTGCTACCTACCCAGTAGGTATCAGAGTCAACCTCATAGAGGAGTCATGTAAAAAAGGGAAGAGCCCAGGCCATCTAAGACCTAAGGAGTAGGAGTTTGCAGGGTGCCTTTTCTCTTTCTCACTGTGTGGCTCAGGTTTTCCTTACCCTTACAAACCTTCCTGCCTCAGACTCCTGAGAGCTGGGATTTCAGTCATGTGCCACCGCACAGCTCAGAATCTGCATTTTATCGAGACTTTCTCATGGTTTGTGTAAGGAATTGGCTTTGAAAAGCATTTTACAGGAGATAATAAATAATGGTCTCATAGGAGATTTTAGTGGCTAGCCTTCTGGAACACCTACAACTCATTTCAAGGATAGGGGAAGAAGTATACCAGAGAGCAGAGTCTCACTTTGATCTCTCCCCTGTTTCCTTTTGGACAGTTCGTTTTGTCTGGATTTTTGTCGCTTATATCCGAAAGAAAAAACACACTGTATCTGGTGAGTTGCACTCATGTTATTCATTCTTCCAAGGTAAGAAAAGTGGAATTTTAGGGGTTTTAAAAGAGACATACGAGTATAACTACATTATAGAGAGTGTAGATGTGTGCTTTCTTTCTATCCCTTTGTGCCAGAAAGAATTTTGCAGGAAAAAATGGGTAAAATCATTAGAAACATAAATTGTGTCAATAAATAAACAGTGAAATTTGATTACTTTGACACCATTTGAAGGGACCCACACAGGTATTGTCCTTAAGTGTATTTATAGTCTTATGGTTAGTTATGTCAACCGAGATGACTTGAGGATAAAGTAAGCATGTGTGTGTCTGGGTTTGTTTATTTGTTTGTTTTTGTTCTTTGGGGTTTTTTGTTTCTTTCTTTGTTTGTTTATTTTCTTTTTCTGGGGATTGAACCTTTGACCTTCTGCAACATCTCTTGCTGTGTTCACTGCTGAGTACATCCCCAGCCCTCATGCTTTTCTTGACTGAATCTCAGAGGGAAACAGATTCTTACCAGGTGATGAATACATTTGCAAGAGTTCTTTATTTAACTGGGGTGTTGAATCAGCTTTGAGTTACTATACAGAACCAGCTCTGCAAGACAGATCAGTTGATCAGCTGTTGCCACACCCAGTCCCATGGCTGAATGTTCTATGCCCTCAGGTGAGAGGCAGCCTGGGAGCAAACATTGCCAGCAGCATCTCTGCAGGGATAGGGATCGTCATACTGATCCTCAATCTGAGCAATAATTCCGCTTATCTGAACCATTGCACGGACGTAACCGAAGACGACGGTTGCTTTGTGACTTCTTTCATCACAGTATGTATTTCTTGTGAAAATACTAACTCTCTGGGTCTTGTCCTAAGTGTAAAATCCCTCTTTTTTACAGAGAGATAGTCCTCCTTTTGGAATCTCCAGATCTCATAAAATAGAGTTCTGCACTAAGGAGTGATGATCTTACTCCTATTCCTGGCCACATTCCTTAAGTTTAGAGTCATCATCTCTAATCAGTCACCTCCTGGTTTCCTCCTGTTTATGTATCAGTTTATTATGTCTACTCCTGAGCTCCTGAGAAAGGGGGTGCTTCTTTAAGGGAAGGCATTGGGGGTATATCTGTCTGTGACTTTTGCCTTTTGCTTGCTTGTTGTTTGACAGGAACTGGTGTTGATGATGCTGTTTCTCACCATCCTGGCCTTTTGCAGTGCTGTGTTGCTCACTATCTATAGGATTGGACAAGAATTTGAAAGTAATAAGGTCAGTAGGAAATCTTGACTAGCATGCTAACAAGTTTGTGCTTTATTCTTTTCAAACATGCCCTGAATCTTCTGAAATCATTTCCCCTGGAAAACTATTTATCAAAAACTGCCTTTTGTATCTCATATTGGAGATCTCATTTTGTACACTGAAATGGCATGAGATCACAGCCCAGTCCCGTGAGGTTAGGCAAATGAAATGGTTACAGTTGTTGAAATTATGGGTGCTTTGGAGCAGTTGAGTGTGAGAAGTGAGTTATCAGCAGTGTGATGGAAACATTCAGCTGTTGGGCTTTTCTTTTTCTTTTTTTTTGTTGTCCCCAAGGAACTTCTTATATCTGTTTCTACTTTCTCCCTTTCTTTTTTTTCCAAATCTATATTTTTTCTTTCCCCTCTTTACTGCTTTCAAAAAGCCTTGGGTTTGGTTTTCCTCTTGGTTCATGGGGACAGCTGCATTTTCACCTGCTGCACAAACTTATTATATCCTTGCTGAGAATTCTTAATTCTCAGCCACTGTTGCTAACTCAAATCTGACAAATGGAACCTACAACCCAGTCTCTATGTCTACTCTTAGGCACAACCAAGTTCTTACACTTTTTAATGACCACTGTCCTCAGTCAGAATAGAAACCAACATATCGGATACAGAGTAACCTCAGTCACTTGTCACTTAAATGGTTTCTTTTAGCCTTCATTGGTCAGCCCATCTGAGCTAGTTACTAGACTTACGGGTCCAGATATTTGAGTGTCACGAGAGGCAAGGTGAAATGCAACAAGATAGAAGAAGAGATACATCGGTGACAAGCCCTATAGAAATTTAAAGATCTGTGTAACTGATATGGGTTGGTTTTTCTCTTTATCAGGTCCCAGATGATCGCCTTTATGAAGAATTAAATGTGTATTCACCAATTTACAGTGAGTTGGAAGACAAAGGGGAAACATCTTCTCCAGTTGATTCATAGAATCAGGGGACCAGGACAATCTGACTCACAGTATAATCTTGGAAGTTGATCTTTTTCAACATTATGGCAAAGTTTCTGATTGCTCCACGCTCTTGTCAGTTTTCCAATTAGATTGTTCTGCAGATGCCATATCTTAGTTATGCTATGTCTGGTCTTCTAAATATCTCCCTTTTGTGGATATCATTCACTCCGATTTTCTTGTTTTGTCTCACAATCTCACATATATCCTTTCTGGAAAGTAATCAAAGAATAAGTTGACTTTTATTGTATGTCTACATTCATGAATAAAAGGAAAGTAAGGAGAAATTATGCTGAAAATTTAACTAAGCTTAGATAATCAGGTAATATTTGGCTCTTAGTTCATTTAAGAATTCTCAACAGCTGTAGTTGTGCATGATATATGTCTACTATATAAAGCCCTCTGTATATATATTAATATAATATATTTTTTCTATGTAGATATTATTTTTCACCCTCAATAATAATGGGTTTTTCAGAGACATAAAGCTTTAAAAAAAGACACATATTATCTGATTCATGAGTACATTCACTAGCACAGTTGTTGCTGAGTTGTGTTTACCAATTGGTGAGTAGTAGGTAATAGAGAATATTATTAAATCATTCACTCTAGTGAGATGGATAGGTAAAATCAGGGATACTATGAGTGTGTACATCCTTTAGTAAGACACATGTGATGAATGAAGAATAAACTGATGAAGGCTTGAGCTGGAAGGTAATCGATGGGAAAGACAAGAAATGATCATGTATAACACATTAGGTAAATACTACCAAAAGTTGGAAGAGATTGCCATGTATGCCTAGAATCTCAGCACAAGGCCAGCCTCTGTTACATAGTAAGTTAAAGGCCAGCCTGGACTTCATGAGATCCTACATCAAAGGACCAAAGTAGAAATTAGTTGAAACTGTTAGCACTTTAAAAGATAGTTAAACAAACAGAAGTTTGACTGATATGTTGAGTGCTTGATTCCTTAATAAAAGTGAATGAATAACATTGGGGGAAGGAAGCGGCAATGTAGAAGCCTAGATGATGGGAGAGTGGCAGAAACAGGTGAAATGTTGAAACCTAGTTTTAGACTTTTGTTCAGAGATGATTATGAGAGTGATCATCATTAAAGGATGAGGGTTAAGACAGCAGGAGAATTACTTTGAGAAAGAATTAAGGCAGTCAAACTCCACATGCCTGTTCTTAGAAGGGGAAAGTAAGGATCAAATGTAGAAAGCCTAACAATTAGTCAGAAAAGCATTTTACATTAGTCAGCAGATGCTATAGTGGAGAAAAGTTAGACAAGGAAAAAACAATTAACCAATAAAGTGTACACGTTGGCTTGGGAAAGAGAAAATAGCAAGTCTAAATGACTGTAAACTCTGAGGAGGCATTTCCCAGAGGATGTGGGCAGAGGACCTGAACATTTGCAAAGGTGCCTAGAGAGTAGATCATGAGTAGGAGGCAGTACAGGCAAACAAACAAACAAGCAAACAAACAACAACAAAAAAGCAAAAACAAAAACAGCTGAGAAAATGATTTTGTTGCTGCTATTTGGATTTTTAAAAGAAATAAAAAGGGGCAATGACAAATCTGTTTGGTGGGATCAGTTTGTGTGTTCTCTGTGCATGTCCAAGGGACAGGTAACTTTTCTAAATCTTCACGTAAGGCTCACCTAACATCTGTCTCTTCACACAGCCATACCTGTATGCACAGTTACTCTACCACAGTAGTGAACTATGCTTGTGATCTCCTTATGTATCTTCAGATAGTGTTTATACAATAAATCAGGATTATTTAACTTGGTATTTGTACTAGCAAATGAAGTTGAAAGAATATGAGGAAAGTTTTGAGGAAGAAAATTGATGGTGGATATAATCATATTTCATTGTACACATTTGTAAAGTTCTCAGGAATAAAAAAAATACATTTAAAAAAGAACCATGTACACGAAAACAATTATTAAATGGTGCCAAGGACAAAGAACAGTTTCTGGAGTCTTCTTCCTCAATCTTTATCCAGTAGAATTGTATGTAAATAACTGTGGAGTCAGAAAACAGGACACTGAACAACCTATCACCCATCTTTTGTTAATAAATTGGGTAAGCAGGAGGTAATCATGTTTTACTAGCCGATACTGATGCTAATTCAATTGCTCTATGAGCTGGAGAAAGTGCTTCTTTGGTGAACCTGTATCACTCAGGATTCATTTAAGAGGTACAACCAACAAGAGTCTATGATAGACAGATGGATGGTTGTACGAAGAAAACTATAAATGGATAATTCTCCAAACCAGAGAGAGGTACATGAGATAGATGTAAATTTATCAGACCTTAAGTAGGAAGGAGACACTGAGCTCTGTCTTTTCCAGTATCTGGTGCTTGCTTGCCTGGGTTTATCTTATGGCTAAAACATTACAGTCTGCTACATGACTGAGCCCATGTATAAGGAAGGGAGAGGGACTTTTGAGCTTCAGCATGTACATTAGATAAGGTTCTGAGTTCTCAGAGCAAAGAACTTAAACAAGAAAAGAAAAAAACTAAATAAATAAGCTGTGACATTTGGAGTGAGGGCAATATCAGGTACTGGGAACATTGCTCTCCACAGATGCACCCAGATAATGGTGAAGACAGACAGCGGAGGGATTCTGTTTAGGACAATAAAAGCCATGATTTTGTGCTCAGTCGTGTGTCAGCTACACAGAACTTTCTCTGGGTTGGTGATTCGTTCAGTAGAAACAAAAAACAAAACTGCCAGACTTTTGTTACTTGAAGCCAACTTTTATTAGGGAGTTGGGGTCTTGTTTCTCACAATAGAGAGATATACAGAAGAGGATAAATTAGGGATACCAACTCAAATGGTTTCAGAAGCTATGTGGTCACATTACAGGGTGTCTGCAAGGTGGAGACCCTGGGACACCAGTAGTGTGGTTTAGTCCAAATTCCAGGTCTCCAGAATCAGGAGAGCTTGTGGTGTATTCTGTATCTCCACAGCCCTTGGAGATACTAGCTAAGCCTAGGAGTACACAACCTTCAAATTCCTTCCCCCACTATAACCCAGGACAGAGCAGGCACTCCACTACTTGCTTACAGTAAGTCACTATCTTTTTAGCTGTGTTTCAGTCAATCAGCTAAATGAGCTGTTAGTGACCTCTCTAATTCCCCAACCTAAAACATTATATTCTGACTATCTGCTTATAGAGTTCATATCAATAAATATATGTAGAGACAAATTCAACCATTCTTTAGCTGTCTTCCTGTAAACATGTAAACATCTATTCTCTCACACAAATTTTTTAGACTTCTGTGTAATTATAATATAGAAAACTCAAGTAGTTATTTTTCTTTTCCCAAACACCAACAAAGTGTGGTGCTTTAAATGCTTAGTTTTCATTAAAACAATATTTATTTATTTATTTATTTATTTATTTATTTATTTATATTGTGTGTATATGGGTGGTGTGTCTGTGTTAAGGGGCATTGTACACATGTGGAGGTCAGACTGAGACATCTGGTGTCTTCCTCTATCTATTGCTGTCCATCTCATTGCCTTGAGACAGGGTCTCCTGCTGAGTTGGTAATTATGTTCACCTAGGGTATTTGGCTATCCATCTTTTAGGCTCCATGTCTCTACTGCCCATCTGAGGTTAGAGACATGTGAAGCCATGACCAGCTAAGGGTAGTAGGGGGTACTTTATTATTTTTGAAAGGAAGATAGTTTTCAGTTTGCTCTTTATTCTGAGATCCTCCTAAAATTTAGTATACATTCCATTAATTTCTTGCATATTTACATATGCCAGGCTCTGCATAGCAGCCAAACATGTCACATATAAGACCATATCTCTTCCTCTTTCTTTTAAGAAAGCTTTTAAAATCTTTTTGACATTTAAATTTTTTTTTAAAGTTGAGATGCCTTGAGAGATACCTCAGTAGTTAAGAGCATTGGCTTCTCTTTCAGAGGACCTGGGTTCTATTTCCAGCACCCATGGTATCTCACAACCATCTACAGTTCCAGTTCCAGGGGATTCTATGTCCTTATATGGCCTTAGCAGGTACCAGGCATGAGTGTGGTTCGCAGGCATATAAGCAGGCAATATACCCATACACAGAAACAAAAAAAAATCAAAATTATATGTATATGTTTGTATCTGAGTGTGGGTTTGTACATATATGTGTACACTGCCTTCAGAGGCCAGAAAGGGACATAAGATTCCCTGGAGCTAAAGTTACAGGCAGTTCTGAGCCTCCCGGTGTAGGAGTGGGGAATTGCTCTCATAAGTATCCTGTTTATTTGTTTGTTTGTCTGGAAAATTGCTGTCTTCCTTCCTTAGCTGTATGAAGTCCACCAATAAGTCCTTGATGGCCTTGTTCATCTCTGATACTGTTTCTCATTGTTCATTATTCTTTAGATACCCCTGCCCAGATTTGTGTAAATTACCCTCCAATTCTGTGTATTTTAAATTTCCATTCTATCTTATCATAGTCATTTAAAACTTGGTGTCATGTAGTTCCAATATCTACATCCTATCTGAGCCTGATTCTCAGTTTATTAGTGAACTATTAGTTCATTTTCACCTTAAAAATAGTCTTAATTTTTGTATGCCTCCTAATATTTTGTTGAAATTTGGACAGATTCTTGGGGACTGAGAATACTCACCTACTTTCTATGAGCAGAGACAGGAAGGGTTGTGTATGAATACCTGTGCTGTGGTTGCTTGCTTCACAGATACCTGTTCTCCTTTAGTGATGCCTGAGGGTACATGGGGTGGGTTGTTTCACAGAGGCTCATCTCTGGGTCTACACTAGCTTTTGAAAGGATGGACGGGGACCAATGGTGGAAGGGGATGTCTCAGCAGGCCCATGCTGAGGCATCCCTCCCCCCCTGAGGGACCAGCCACACGACAGTATAGCACAAAATAGAGTTTATTCAGGGTATGGGGAAAGGAGCCAGGAGGGTAATAGAGTCAGAGAGAAAAAGGGAGAGAGAGCAAAGAAGTAGAGGAGTAGAGGCCAGCCATGACCACGTGGAGATAGGGCAAAGGGAAGGGGGAGGGGGCAGAGGAGAACCTACAGGTGCAGGAGTAAGGGGATCAAGAGAGAGAGGAGGGGCCAAGCAGCCCCTTTTATAGTAGGCAGGCCTACCTGGCTGTTGCCAGGTAACTGTGGGGAGGAGCATACTTGGCT